TATTAGAATAAATCCCAAACACTGACAACCCCAAATGCTGGCGAGGGTGTGAAGCAATGGGAACTCTCATTCGTTGCTGATGGGAATGCAAATGTGACAGCCACTGTGGAAGACAGTTTGGCAGTTTCTTACAGAACTAGACATACTCTTACCATATGAACCAGCAATTGTGCTCCTTGGTATTTACCCAAATGAGTTGAAAATTTATGTCCACAAAAACCTACACAAGAAGATTTATACTAGCTTTATTCATAATTGCCCAATTTGGAGGCAACTAAAATATCCTTGAGTAGATGAATGGATAAATAAACTGGTACATACAGACAATGCGCTATTATTCAGTGCTAAAATGAAATGAGCTATAAAGTCACAAAAAGATATGCAGGAACCTTAAATACATATTACTAAGTGAAAGAAGTCACTCTAAAGGCTACATGCTGTGTGATTCCCACTATGTGACATACTAGAAAAGGCAAAACTATGGAAACAGTAAAAAGGAAACACAGAAGACTTTTAGGGCAGTGAAACTATTCTGTATGATACTATAATGGTGTATACATGTCATTACTCATTTGTCAAAATCCACAGAATGTATAACACGGAGTGAATCCAAATGTAAACTATGGACTTTGGGTGATAATGACATGTGAATGCAGGTTCATCAATTGCAACAAATGTACCACTCTGGTATGGGTGGTCATAGGTGGGGAGACCATACATGTGTGGGGACAAGGAACATATGGAAATTCTCTGTACTTTCCGCTCAATTTTGTTGTGAATCTAAAACTTCCCTAAAAAATAGTCTATTAAAAAAAAAGTTGTGTACATCTGAGCCACATGATTACATTTCCTTTCGTGTACAATTTTTTGTTTTCCTTGAAGTTGATCACCTCTTTGTTTTGTCACGGGTTTTCTACACTCCTAACATTAATTTTTTCCCAAACTCCCATTAGCACTGTAAGATCACAATTGATTTATTTTCCACATTCAAACACATCACACTCTTATCAGATACATTATTTTTCTGGAGATTTTCCTTCTTGAAAGCCTCCATTTTTCTGCTAAAATCTGAACCGACTGCGCTCTAGATGTGCTGCACAAGTGCCATCCTGTGAATTCCTTTACCCATAATTCTGGAAATTTCCTTTGTTTTTCTCCTGGATGAAATCCTCTGTTGGGCCTCATATATGCCTTTATCTTATTTACTCCTTAATTTTTGTGGAGAATATCTTCCAGATCTTTTCTGAGAAAGGATGTAAGTAAATAAATGTTTGAGTCCTTGCATGTCTGCAAATATCTTCACTGTGCCCTCACTTAACTGATAGACTGAATGGGTGCAGAATTCTGAGCTGAAGACAATTTTTCCTTAGACTTAGACTTTTGAAGGTATAGATGCAAGGTCTTCCACCATCTAATGTTGCTGTACGAAGTCAGACATCATGCTTACTCCTAATCCTTTGTATGTAATACGAATTTTTTAAAAAATTCTAGAAGTTTTAAAGGATCTTTTCTTTTCCCCTCCTGTTCTGAAATTACATACTGGTGAGTCTTTTTTTGATGAGCTTTGTCAATCTGAAAACACCTGGTCCAATTTTGGGAAAGCTTATATTTCATCCTTTCTGTTTCCTCTAGTTTCTCATCTTGGAATCCTTTTACTCTAATGGTGGACCTCTTGGACTAACTTCTAATATTCTTAACATTTCCATCCTATTTTCAGTCCTTTGGGCTTCCTCTTTTTTTATTTTACGTCTTTGGTACTATATCTTTAGAGGAAGACAATAAATACAAAGTCTCAAAATATCTCTATAGTTTTTGATTTCCAATGTCCAGCATTCATTCAAAACTTATCAGACATATCAGGAGACAAGACCAAGAGAAAAACAGGCAACAGCAACAGATCCACAGGACAGCCAGATATTGGAATTATGAGCCATGGACTTTAAAATAATTTCAATATATTTGAGAAATTAGATAAAAAAATAGAGAACTTCAGCTAAGGACCGGAAACTATAAAAAAGAATCTAATGAAATTCTAGAATCAAAAAATATAATAACTGAAATTAATAAAGCTAAAGTATGTAATTCATTCAGCTCCTCAATAAATATCCAAATAAATGTCTACACAGATGCTCTAAGAGAAATGTAGAATGATTCTAGCAGAACTATTCAAAATAGCCTAAATTGGATAAATACATTGTGGTCTATTCATAAAATGGCATACTATACAGTACTGAAAATCAGTAACAACATAGATGAATCTCACAAACACAATGTTTTGTGAAATAATATATATATAAAAGAATACGTACTGTCTGAATCTATTTATATAAAGTTCCAAAATAGGTCCCATTAATCTGTGGTGTTGGAAGTCAGGATGGAGTTACCTCTCAGAAGAAGGAAGAGGGTCATGATTGGGAGGGGGCACAAGAAGGGCTTCTAGGATGCTTGAAATATCCTATTTCTTGATCTGAGTGGTGGGTACAGAAATGCGTTCACTTTGTGGTAATCCCTCAAGCTACACACTTATGATCTGTGAATGTTTCTATACGTATATAAAAAGTTTATAATATTATAACATTTGTAATATAATATAATAAATATATAGTATAATATAATAAACTTCAACAAAATGTTTATTGAAGTAAAGCAGGAACAAATTATTCTTGTTTTATAGATGTAGTATCTTTTCTTAACTCTGAGAAAAACATATCTATTCCTTACTTCATCTTTTCCTTCCTCCTATTAGTTTTGGTGTCTATCTACCACATACTCGATGTACCTGTGTTCAGAAGCTCTCTGGTTCAGTTTCTCCAGAGAAGAAATCTCCTGTTGCCTTGTCACATGGAGTTGGACAGGGGATGTGGTCCTATAGATACCTATACAGAATTTTAACCATCTCCCTGTTTTTAACCACACCCTTTAACTTTGGCAGTACCTAGGGCTGCCAATTCTTGGGTCCCTCTGAGGTCCTACATTATGAATCTCATTGGCATCCTCTCTGTAAACTCAAACGTTTCAGTTTTCTCTGCTCTTCTATGTCAGTTGTCACTCTGCAATCTTACAAAATTTATGAACATCTTTCGTCTGTTGTTGTCTCCTTTTCATCCTGGTGGGTTTCTACCTTTTTTATTCCTATATTATAATGTTAGTCGGGCTTGAGGAAGAATCAGAGATAAAAACATGCATTTAAACTGACAATTTTTGATTCACTTTTTTCTTATATTTATTTAAAAATATTAGTCAGGTTATGATTCACCTCCTATGATCTGTAGAATGCACATATATTTCTGTAAATTTTGATGTTTCTTATTAGCTGTGTGCTATTTTTTCAAATGAAATCTTTCACTTTCTTGTATAGCCTTTAAGTGGTATGTAAGATAAACGGCCACACTTCCTGGCTGGTGATCTGGGGAGCTGTTAATGCACTGCTGTGTTTTATTATCAAATGAAATTTATAGGCACAGTGTTCTGTTCCACAGAATGAACCACACAAGGATTTCTCAGACATTCATCCAGATGGAGTGCAGGTTTAAAGTCTACATACAAACTTCTAAGAAATCACCTTTGCCATCTTACGTGCAGCTCTGCTTCCTGGGCTTCTAGAAGAATTGATTTTGTTAAAAATAATCCCAGATGAAAATCAAAAGGAAGCATCAGTATTCTCTCAATACTTTCAGTTGTTTAAGACTATCTTAGCAGGAGAGTTTGTGCTGACTTATGAATTCTAGATGGCTAAGTTACCTGCAGAATATATTTATTACTCATATAATGAATAATTAATGTATATATTTCCAGTCTTTCTAGAAATAATATGAGGAATAACTCAACCATCTTTCTATTTTAACGTGATCATTAGAAAATTAGTATATGAATATAATTTCTCCCAAATGACTTCATGAAATGTACACAGGGTAATAAGATAGCATAGTGGACAATTGTAGAGCTTTTGGATGTTAAACATCTTTCGAACACCCTTCCTAATTTGATGACTTTGATACACAATGAGTCCTATCTCCCTAGTCAGGAATCAGACATTTGCTTTGCCAGCCTCCCTTGCAGCACGTAACCCAGGCTCCACAGATCAGACACAGTCATGTCAGCCTTTGTTGAGTAGAGGGAAATATGAAGAAGAAGAAATACACTTCTGGCGAGGGTGGCATGGAAGAAGACATTCAACTTTCAGGCGCAACAGTAATAGAAATTCTGGAACCTAGAATTTATAGAGCCCAGCATTAGGGTGTGACTTACGGAGTCTCTGCCCAGTGGCAGTGGCTATCGGGGTCTTCTTGGAGCAGTCTTGTGGTGGCGGCTGGGTTTTTTCTTGGCTGTAGCCTCCAAGCCTGACTTTCTGGATATCTTTGAGATTCCATGAATTGGCTAATTTCCTTAAACAAATTCTTTTTGTGTTTCAACTTCCTAGAGAGGATTCTGTTGCTTACAACTAAGAACCCTGACTAATTCAGATAGTAAGTGCTACCATAAATAAAAAAGAAAAATAAACACAAAAATAAAAATATCTCTGTAACATTCAGACAGTAAAAATAAACATGTGATCCAGAGTAAAGAACGACAATAAGCTATAATATGGATGAACCATGAAGACTTATGCTAAATGGAATAAGCCAATTATAGACAGACAAATACTGCATGATTCCACTTATATCTAAAATAGTCAAGTTCACGGAATCAAAGAGGGGAATAGTGGTTTCCATGGGTTGAGGGAAGGGGAAAATGGGGAGATATTAATCAACAGGCATAAAGTTTCAATCAAGATGAATAAGCTCTAGAGATCTGCTGTGCAACACTGTATCCATAGTCAACAATAATATACTGTATACTTAAAAATGTCTTAAGAGGATGGATCTCATATTTTGTTCTTTCCACGATAAAATAGAATAAATTTAAAAAATGACTACTATGTACTCCCACTACCCACAGGAACGTCTAATTTTAAAAACACATTGGAGGATTTAAAAATCTTGATAGCAACCTGAACATACCATCTTTATCAGCAGTGTCCTGAGGCTTGGATTTTAAAGTGAAGATCTTCCGTAGCTTACAATTAGCTGAGACAATAATTCCATCCAATGACTGGAAAACTGCTCCCTTGAATATTTCACTGGTAAATGCCACCAAGTCAATGCACAGATTGCACCACTAAAATACAAGAAACGAAGAGTAAGTACTTTCTATAACCACATTAGCGAACAAGCCATTGATATGTGGGAAGTCCAGAGAGTTGAGGCAATTATCTGGATCAACCAGCCCCAAACCAGTTTTCCTCTTTAGGCAAATCTTTATCTGCTTTGGTTTCAATTTTCTTAAAAATTGTCTTGATTATTCCAAAGAAATCATCATAATCTAAACTACACATTGGTCATCTGACTACAGAGTTCCCATCGTGAGACAAAGTTTTGACAACTCTGGGAAATAACTCTAGATCTACAGGCAGTATGCTAGTGGGAAGCTAACTGCAGCTGCCTTAGCACACTTCAATCTTCAAAACCAGGGATAAGTAGCCAATTGTTCCTTCAAGGAGACTAATTTGATCACAGTTAGTCACTTACATTTGTTAACAAAAAAAAAAAAACGCATGGATGAAGTTAGAAGCTGGGTTTAAATTGTGGCCAGTGCCGTCTACTTATAACCAATTAACCTATTGTACAAAAATAGATTCTTCAAAAGAATTTGTAATTATGCCTGGTATTTGCCAGTTTTTAAAGTACTCTTGCAGGGACTAATTTCTGCCCATTAAACAATTATACCCCTCAATACTTCATCAAATGAATTCTCAAAATGGTCTGACTGAGCTAAAGAAAAGTAGAAAATAATCATTTAGTAAGGAATTAAGATATATTTTAGACTGCAGGACAAAAGCAGGAAAAAGAATTTTTGAAATTAAAAGAATAGTAGTATTTAAAATTGTCTATGCTTCTTTTAAAATACCAGGCTTTTCCATTACTTGTTTAGAAGCACAGTTTACATAAGGTCCATATTATTAATATACCAAAATTGAAAGCTATATTCATTGATGAAGGAAATAATAATGTTACTTTTTAAAGGCAAGTTCTATTTAGGAATGTTGATTTTAACATGGAGGAGAATCTGAAGTTACTTCCATAATAGAAAAGGAAAAGAGATTGCAGTAAATTATTGATTAAATACATGAAGATTATTTTCTTTGTAGATGTCTCAATGGTAAAATTATATTCCCAGGCCATGGGGATGTTCTGGTCTTTTGGGGGAAAACGGGGTCTGGCATAATAGAATGTAGGAGATAGGACTGAATGTGATGTGGTAATGAGACTGGCTTGACCAATGGTGAGCTCTGGGGAGGTGTGGGAAGTAATGTGGGGTGGGCCAGTGAGGCAAGGCTCTGGAGGAACTGGAAGATCAGGAAGAGAACCTTGGACTTGAGGGTGAATTGTCACTGTGGTTTTTGGAGGGGAATGTGACAAAAGTCGAGCATTGAGGACTTTGGACTAGCCCTGATGCAGGAATGTTTGGGGTGGTAGAGGGGATCAGTGGGGGAAGCTGAGGTAGAGTGGAGGTAGACTGAGCCATAGAGACTAAGTTAGTCTCTGTCAGTCATTTAGGCATGAAGTGAGGAGGGTCTGGTTAGAAGGCTACAACAGGAAGTGGAATGTAAGGGACAAATCCAGTAGTCATACCATAGGCTGAAACATCAGGGCTTGGTAAAATCCAGGTTCTAGGGATGGAGGTGTGGGGGTTGCCAGCTATCCAATAACAATTATTAACATTATTATTATATTAGCAATTACTGTAGCTGTTATAAAGGCGGTTTCTATTCCTACAGGACTTATTATGCCCCAATTCCAATAATTCAGCTGGTTCATCCCATTAGTAATTGCATTCATCCATTCTTCCCCATTGGTGCTAAGCACTTATGAGGTGTTAGAGAGACTGGGCTTGGCTCCAGGCATACAGCACCGACTAAGACAGTCCTTCCAGTTTGGGAAGGGAGGCAGACATGTGGCCTCTATTAGATTCAGTTAGTACACAGGGGCTCAAGGTGGGAGGGCAGGGAGTTCAGGAAAGGCTTCTTTTAAAAAATATTTGAAAATTTTTATCATGATATTATATGTCAATATAAGCCAAATAGTGCCACAAGTTTTATACAAAATGTAGTCTTTTGATACCTCTCCATTCATCTATTCATACTGTCAACTCTTAACTGTTTCTTCTCTCTCTTTTTTTTTTTTTTGAGGAAGATTGGCTCTGAGCTAACATCTGTTGCCAATCTTCCTCTTTTTTTTTTCTCCCCAAAGCCCCAGTACATAGTCGTATATCCTAGTTGTAAGTCCTTCTAGTTCTTCTATGTGAGATGCTGCCACAGCATGGCTTGACGAATGGTGTGTAGGTCTGTGCCCAGGATCTGAACCAGTGAACCCCAGGCTGCCAATGTGGAGCATGCAAACTTAACCACTACACCACTGGGCTGGCCCCCTGTATTTTTAAATAATATCTCTTGAGTCATCAACTTTAGACATTATCTACTGATTTCTTATTACAGTAGACAAGACCTATAGCTCACTTATACATCCTACTTCCTCTACTTCATCCTCCCTAGATAATTCTCTCTCATTCTTTCTCTTTCTCTCTTTTCCTTAAAATCCATATTCTGTGTTTTTCCTATTGTGACTAAGTAAATACTGAACACAACTGAGTCAAGTGATGCTTTATGATTACCTTTCCTTTCCTTACACAACTTCTTTATATTTCTAGAGTCAATGACTGTTTTTAAATTATCTGCTTTATTTTCTTTGAATCTAAGTCTTCTTACATCTAGGAAAGGCTTGGAGGTGACATCTGAGTTTGGTTTTGAACAATGAATCAGAGCTTCCAGGCCCAGGAAGGCATGGGAACATGCTGGGCATTTCTGCTCGGGGCCCCGCTCCTTTGTTCCCTGCTTTGATGAACTCTCCAGTTGGCCGCACATGATCACCCCATCAGACCCTATCAGCTCTGTATGGGAATTGGTGTTCACCTTTAAAAAGTCCCAGGAAATCAGGCCCTTACCTACTACACATTTTATCTTTTCCCCAGTTTTATTGAGAAATAAGCATACATCACTGTATAAGTTTAAGGTATAGAGCACGATAGTTTGATTCACATATACTGTGAAATTATTACCACAACAGGTTTAGTTAACATCCATCATCTCATATTGATACAATAAAAAAAAGAAAAATTTCTCCTTGTGTTGAGAACTCTTAGCATCTACTACTCCCTTAACTTTCCTATATATCACACAGCAGTGTCAACTTCAGTCGTCATACTGTACATCACAGCCCTCATACTTATTTATCTTATAACTGAAGTTTGTAACTTTTGACCACCCTCCCCCAGTTCCTGCCCCTCCGCCCCCCACTTCTGCTAACCACCCATCTGACTTCTTTATCTGAGTTAGGTGTTTTTTGTATTGTTTTGATTAGATTCCACATGTAAGTGAGATCATACAGTACTTGTCCTTCTCTGTCTGACTTATTTCACTTAGCATAATGCTGTCAAGTTCATCCATGTTGTCACAAATGGTAGGATTTCCTTGTTTTTCAGGGCTGAGAAATATTCCATTGTGTGTATATATATACACCACTACTTCTTTATCCATTCATCCATTGATGGACACTTAGGTTGTTTCCACATCTTGGCTGTTGTAAACAAAGCTGCAATGAACATAGGGGTGCAGATATCTTTTAAAGTTAGTGTTTTCCTTTCCTTTGGATATATTCCCGGAAGTGGAACTTCTGGATCATATGGTAGTTCTATCTGTAATTTTTTGAGGATCCTCCATACTATTTTCCATAGTAGCTATACAAATTTACAATCCCACTGACAGTGCACAAGGATTCCCTTTTCTCCACATCCACACCAGCATTTATTATGTCTTGTCTTTTTGATGACAGCCATTCTAACAGGTGTGGGGTGATATTTCATTGTGGTTTTAATTTGTATTTCCCTAATGACTTGTGATGTTGATCATCTTTTCATATAGCTGTTGGCCATCTGTATATCTTCTTTGGAAAAATGTCTATTTAGGTCCTTTGCCCATTTTCTAATTGCATTATTTATTTTGTTGTTATTGAATTATATGAGTTCTTTACATATTTTGGATATTAACCCCTTATGAGAACAATGGTTTACAAATATTTTTTCCCCTTTCGTAGGCTGTCTTTTCACTTTTTTGGTCATTTCTTTTGCTGTGCAGCTTTTTAATTTGATGTAGTCCCACTTATTTATTTTTGATTTTGTTGCTTGTGCTTTAGGTGTGATTTACACACTTTTCTTATCAGTCACAGTCAAGCTGCTTTTATTCCCTCTTCTTGGACTCATGGCTTCATGGAAAGTACTCAACAAATAATGGCATGCCTGTGTGTGTATGAACATATGAAGACATGCATGTACACACATGCTTATACAAACACTTTAGATCTTTCATTCTATAATCACTTAACAAACCCCATAAGTGTGTGGGAACTGATAACTTATTTAGTGAATCCATCTCTTAGAAGTACAGATGGGAGTAATTCCTGAAAAAGATGAGAATAACTTTCACAAATCTCCGTTGGCTAGAGGAAATAGAAATTATTTTTTGGTTTAGCTGATATTTATAAAGGTTTCAATTTTCATAAGCTTCAACAAATAACTCATTATTCATATAAATTCTGTGATATATTTTCCTAAGTTTTTGAAAAGAATATGAACTCTCTACTATCAACAGGTGGATTATCTGAATTACAGTTGATCTTTATAAAATATTATTTTCATTAGGCTTGGTAATATCATCCATTCTTAAAATCCCCTTTTTGACATTTTTCTTGATCTCTAATCACTTTATTCCTACATGCAAGTCTAGTCCAGCAGGGAAGACCTCTTGATCTAAATTATTAATAATTATGGGTCCTTAAGAAGTATGCGCCAGAAAGACAGCAATCTGAGAGAGAAAAGACAGTTCTATCTAGTTTGTTGATTGGATTACTAAGAGATTTTATGCTATTTAGTTCCAGCATAGAATTTTACATGATGTAATCGACTAGCAAGGGGTGAAAGAATGATTCAAAGCATGAATTTCCAGATTTTACTGACTGAAAGCAATATGGCTTTATACTGGTGAAATAACTATATTCTATGAATAT